AGAGAGGGACTGGCCCAAAGTCACCCAGCCGGCTTTCATGCCTCAGGCGGGACTAGAACTCACAGTCTCCTGCTTTCTAGCCTGGGGCTTTCTATAAATTGATAGATCGCTCCTTCTGCATATTTTGGGTATGTTTTATGTTCTTATGGCACTGCGCGCTTAAATTAAATTATTTAATTATTAAATGGGGGGAGATGGACAGGGGACTGACTAAATAAATAAATGAATAAATAAAAAATAAATGCCCTGTAAGAACTACCCTGTATAGTAGGTTGGGCTAACAGAGCATGAACGATCCAAAGTTGATCAGGGTGGACTTGAATCTGGGCTTCCCCAGTGCCAGTCCAACACCATCACCAGGACACTTCCCTGGCTCTCTTCCTTCAGGCCCAAAGGGATGGGACAGGACGGGGCAGAAAGTCCACTCAGGCCTGACTCTGTATTTCTGGTGCAGATTCTGAGAGAGCTGCTGGAGACCTGGAGTAGCAGCAGTGCCGTGAAACACTCCCCAGCCGAGCAGCAGCTGTACATTAGCAAGGCCATCCTCCTCTGCCTCTCTCACCTGAAAGAAGAAGAAATCTCAACCAACCGGCAAGGTAAAGGAGGGAGAAGAGGATGGTTTTGGGGAGAGGATTGTGCAGAATGAGCTCCTTTCTCTGGTCTAAGGTTCTTCAAGGGCTGCTTCCTTATTATAGCCATCAGCCAGCCCTGCCTGCCTGCCTCCCTCTCAACCCCTTTCTTCTTCCCTCCCAACTTCTTTAGCCAAAATGCTAGTAGGAGGCATCAGAGAGAGAGATGGGGAAAGAAGATCAAAAGAGCAAGCACCTTGTAGGAGGTGCTGCAACCCATTCTAAGATGTTTTCTCTAGTGGACACGTTGACCTGGCCTGATCAAGGGAGGGCCCAGCATTTCAGGAAGAACTTGCTCCATTGCTTCTGCCTTGTGTTTCTAGAGCTACTTACCAGCCTGATGGAAGGGATGAAATGCCACCTGGACAGTAATTTGCCCCGGATCCGTCGGATGGGGATGGTAGTAGCAGAATGTGTCAGCACCAGGATAACGCCAGAAGGGCCTGCCTTGGAGTTTCAGGCAAGCAGTTAGAGTGATTTTGCTGTAGGCTTGGTTGCAGAAGAAACACACGAAAGAAATCCTTAATCTTAAATGTGTGGATGGAAGGTACTTTTTCTTCTGCTTCCTGATTCTTCCACTGAAGTTGCTGAGATGCCCTGCCAAGCCACAAATCAGCTGTGAACCTCACGCTGTGTGCTGTCTCCTGAACAAAACAGTTGAAGTAGAAAATTTGGCTTCTGCTTTTAAACAAATGACAGTTCCCTGTTGTATCTGAACCCAGGAAACTAATTTATTAGCTTAAGCCAGGATCAGACTTCTGTGGCTTCTTCCAAAACTGGAAAGAATGGCCAATCTTTTGATGGCTGAAGGCTGCAGTTCCCATGCTGATGACTAAGGCCTGCAGTGGCAGAATGGCAGTGGGCTGCAAAATGGGGCAGCGTTCTCAGTCCCCAACCTCCATCCCATAGGGGAGGGGTTTTTTGGGGGGGGTCCCTCTTTCTTTTAACTATATAAAGCTTTTGGGGGGACAGACTTTTCTCTGTCCTAGATCTGTGATTGGCCTTTGAGGGACATGTTCAAGTCTGCTCTCCAAAAAGGAATGGACAAAATATTGAGAATTAAGTATAATTAATATGGCTCCTCTCCAGCAATGTCTTTAACAGTTTCCCTCTTCTATCAGATTACAAATTAGAACTGGACAACAAATTATAGAAGGATTTCATCTGTCCTACTTCTGTTTTAGGGTTGGAACACTACAATTTTTGTACATTTCCCACCAGTTTGAAAACCCACCCTTGTTTTTGACAATCCCTCTGCTGGATTTGCTAGAGCCTGCAAAGTTGGACCTTGTGCTTTTCCATTATATCTCAAACACAGCTGTCTGGATTTGGGTGGCAGTGGGAAGTCAACGTTTTCTATCATCCCCTTACAGCCTTGCAAGGCAAAGAAAGCAAAAAGGAATTTGTGAGCTGAAGCAGGCTTGGGAGCAGCAAGGTGTAATTCTCCATTGTGGTTGATCTGGGTTGACATGCAATCACAATGTATCTAACACTGAACAGGCCTGAGGTTAAAGTTAAATAAAACCTTTGAGCTGTATGCTCAGCAGCCCTTTTCTGCAATGAAACAACAAATGAACCCCCAATTTCTGAATTAGGACTAGCACTGGCCCTTATCCAGAAGCTAACTTGTATACTAATCTCTGTTAAAATGTTGAATGTTTTAGTATGAAGAAGATGATGAGATTAAAGAACTGAAATCCTTGCTAACTCAAAGACTGGAAGAGACTTCAGATGCTGAGCCCCCAAACACTGGGTAAGATTTAGCTTCATTCTTTTGGGATTCAAATGATGTTTTCTCAGCAAAGTGTTGCCTTTTCTTGTGCTGGTAGTCTTGGCATGGCTGAAGTGAAGGCTCCCTATGGTCAGCTCAAGGCCTGATGACTTCATGAACCTTATGAAACCCTATAGCTTTCTTGGTGAAGATATGGCAGTGGCATGCTGTCACCTTCTTCTGAGATCATTTTTGAACTCCCCAGTCTAGATTTTGTCTCCCATCTACTGTACGTAGTAACCAAGTCCAACCCTGCCTAGCTTCCAAACCCAGAAATAACCTAAATTAGTCAACCACACTGCGTAGGAAAGTGCTGTGCAGAGATAATAAGAAAGGCAGATGCCATAAGTGTGTGTGCGTCTATGTCTGTGTGTGTGTTGTATTGCTTCCCCTAATTTCAGGGCTTTTTCAGTGATAGAGCCCCATTTGTGAATTGCCGTATCAGACCAGTAGCCTGGCATAGACATAATGGTCTTTCTAGTGCCAGGTGGAGATCTTACTTTCCTGGCATTTTAGGAGAATATTTTTGAATGACTGAATAGTATTTTGTGGCCAGTTTATCTTGAAGGTACTTATTATTGCAGTTGTCGTCATCGTCGTCATCATCTGCTAAAAACTTCCCTTATGAAGCAGGTGATTTAAAACTATTACAGCAAAACTACCCCTCTATGGATTGAATAACAACAACAACAGCTGTTTTTATAGTGATGTTTTAGCAGGAGTGGTTTTAAATCATTGCTTTATATGGGATGTTTTTAGCAGATTTTTACACCATTGAGAAAACTGGTCCTTGGCCAGCTTGGAGATATAGCAGAGATGGATAAATAATTCTCCTTGTGCTTAGGAGAACAGGAGACTTAATAGCGTTTAAACATTGCAGTCCCTTTTTGCTTAACAGGGACAGCAGACCCAGCATTGCTGCTCTGCATTCCAGTGTGACGCCAGACTTGGATACTTCTGAAGAACCGGAACAGGGAGTTGACTCTGAGCTCGATAGGTAGGTTAAAAATGACATTGCTAAGAAACGACAGGGTTCCATTACAAAATGGCTGCTGCCCGGGTGTGAATTGAGACGTGGGGATGAATGTTCTTTCCCGGGTTTCTTTTGTAGTGATGACGACCTCGTTCCATATGACATGTCACAGGATAAAGAGCTGAAGAAAATCAGAGCTCCCACCTACATCAGGGATTGTATTGCAAGTAAGAGAAGAAGAAAGAATTCGAGATCCCAGGATTCTCTTCGTGGGGTGGCTGATTCCTGGTTCTGCCTATAAGATACCTATTGTTCAAGAAACTCAGGGTGGTGTAACTGATTCTGATCTGTTTGACTTTCACAGTCATTTCTAACTGGGCACATCTAGCCCAGAACTACCTAAATTCTTAGCTTTCTCCTTTAATTTTATTCGTGTACGTACTATACAAACCCAGCCACAACAGAACATAATAACCATTGAAACCAATGGTTACATAACATCCACAAAAATTCCTATCATTGCAGTACTATCTAAAATCATAAGCAAGCCCCAAAGGTTAGAATATCCATGCGGCTAATCAAAAGCAACAGAAGTTAGAATGTGTTTATTTAACCACTGAATTGTCATTTTTCTGAAGCCAACAAGCTTGTAATCCCTTCTCCAAAAAGCTTCTGTGGTTCTCATTAAAGTAACAAAAAGAGGGCCTTCAGCCTTTCCCATAAGTTTACTTTCACATGTCCCCCATCACCTTTCCTTGACCTGATATTTGCCAGACGGTTTCAATGACTTCCTGGCTGAGGATGATGAGAATTGTTATCTCAGTCCATCAGAAGGGTCAGGTTTGGGAAAACTGACTGGCTTCCAGCTTGCTGGGTTTGTCATCACCCAAATAAAGTATTTGCAAACTCAGATCTTGCACTTAAGCATATTAATAGGTGGATAAAGTGCCTTCCAGATTATGGGCTTCAGTTCCCAGAATTCCCCATCCAGAGTTGATCAGAATTCTGGGTATTGGAAAACGCTCATATTGAGGAAGCTAGGCCAGGGAGTGGCAGCTCCCTTCCTTGAATTGTATGGATATGTGTCTTTATTTATTTATACAATTGATTAACTGCCTCATTCCACAGGCTCTTGGCAGTGTAGTTAGTCATCCTAAGCATTTTGCAATTACAAAACACCCAAGTTTGCTTTTTTCCTTCTCTGTCCTAATCCTTTTTCAGTGCTGTTTAGATTGCAAGCCAGAGGGCAAACTCTGCATTACACTAATCCTTTGTTCTTGGCTTAAGGACAGTAGGAAGTTTCTTCCGATAAATAAACAAGCAATCATTCTTATCCTAAGTCTGGAATTTGACAGAGCCAATTCAGCTTGCAGCTCCTCCATGTTTTCACATGGTCCTCTTCTCTTTCCCTCAGTTCTGACGGGGCCTGAAGATGCAGACAAATATGAAGCCGCGGTGGGCGTCCTGGAAGCCTTGATCCGAAGAGACACAGCCACCGCTCAAGAGGTAAATGGAGCCTGTGCCTCTTTGCATCGCAGTTCGCATTTGGAACTAGCCAGCTGTGGTTGTTAGGGATTAGGGATTTCCTGTGGGGTAATAATGCTTTTATAGCAGTAGTTAATGACAAGAAATACAGTAGTATCTATGTAGCACAAGTTAAGGTTTAACGAAATGAATGAAACTCTTTTCCAGACCTGGATCCTTGACTCGGTTCAGACTGCCTAATAAACCATGACTTATGGGGGTGGAGAAGCAAAGTGTGGAGTGAGTCTCAGGGTACCCAAAAGGGAATCAGAATTTTTTTTTCCTAGTACTTCATTAACCATAGCTTATTGTTTTGTTCAACCCAGCAAACTAGTCTTAACTACAGGTCATTTGAAACAAGCCGGTTAAACTAGATTTAAAGGTGGGTTTGAAGATTGAGCCAAGGGTGGTTAAGGGGAAAAAGGGAAAGTGAGATCTCCTTTCCTTGAAGTGTGGGAGGGCATTCATGAATGAGCTGGAGTCTGTATATCTGCCTGGGAGGATAAATCATGGTTTATATCTGATGTTTTTGATTTCTTTGGTTTAACCCAGAACAAACAGGCCTGTTCTGCTCTTTTGGAGTTTGTGCATACTCTGATAACGAAAATAATTACTTTCAAACAGGCCTCTGAGTTTGCCTTGCGGAATGTAAGTAAGGTAACAACATTCAAGCTGCAGTTGCTGCTTCCTCAGCCTTAGATTGCGGCTACCTCTAGATTCAGGAAAGCTGTGTGAAGTCTTCTTCCTCACTCCTCCACCTAGCATTCAATAGTAAATTCAGGGTCTCCTCTGTGTGTGTTCCTTTTGTACAGTTGAGTGTGGAATTGGCAAAAGTCTTGCTCCACCTGGAAGAGAAGAGCTACATTGAAGGGTTCGTGGGGCTTCGGCAAGGTGCCTTGGTGGCTGTTACTGTCACAGACCCCATCCGAGTAAGTCCTTGTACTGACTCTGGGGGTGAGGGGAGGATTGGCAACCTTGTAGAAAAGGGACATCAATGGAGTTAGCTAAGGGGCTGGGAAAAAGGGTGGAGAATTCTTGGCTCTCCTCGTGCGTGTGTGAAAGACTCTCAGCTAGCCCACCTGGCAAAAGGAGGCTCAGTTCAACATCTGGAGGCTTACAGGGTCCCCCTTCCTACACTCCAAAGAAGTAGAAATCCTGTGGTAGATGGGCAGGGCTCACATGTCCTTCTAGAAGGAGTAAGGAATCCCAAGAGTTAAAACCCAAAGCACCTACATGGTTGCTGCTGGAATCCCTTGCTCCGTCTTCTGTACCTGCCTGGTCACTTGTGAAAACAGAGGGAAAGTTGGAGGACTAAGAAGCCATGAAAAGCCTCTGAAGAAACACTTGTCTCTTGTTTTCCAGGTGGCTCAGTATCTAACCTCTGAATTCTACTCCCTGAATTACAGTCTGCGTCAGCGTATGGACATCCTGGATGTACGTGATTCCTGCTTGCCGAAACTGTATAAGTTGCAGCTACTTTGATTTCATTTAAATATAAGGGGGGAAAAAAGCTTCTAATGGAAAGATCTGACAACAATGGAACGGTCTACCTATGGCACTGGTGGGTTCTCCACCTCTGGAGATTTCGAAGAAGAGGCTGACAGCTGCCTGCCAGACGTGGTTTGCATATCGTGGAAGGTTGGGCTAGACGATCCTTGTGGTTCCTTTCAACTGTACGATTCTGGGGTAACACACCAGATGTGTGTGAAGTTCTGAAAAGCATTTGAAGGGCTATCATTTGAAAAGGTTGTTATAAACATGCAATATGCTAAGCCAGAACTGAAATCTTGAACAGTGCAATCCTATGCTGGTTTTCTTCGGAGCAACATCTCCTGGGTTAGTAGAGCTTTTACTCAGATAAATAATGGAATAGGCAGCTTTGCTCCCTTATACTAATGCCGGGAGAAAGCAGTAGACCATAGTTAATAAATATAGTTAGTGAATTAAAAAGCCAGTTTGGTTTAGTGGTTAAAGCTCCAGGCTAGAAAGCAGGAGACGGTGAGTTCTAGTCCTACCTGAGGCATGAAAGCCGGCTGGGTGACTTTGGGCCAGCCCCTCTCTCTCAGCCCAACTCAC